CCACATCTTTTTAATCCAGTCATCTACTTTTGGGCGTTGGGTTGTTACCATGTCTTTCCAGTTGTAAATAAAGCAGCAATAAACATGGGGATGCAGGTATCTTTTTGAATCGGTGTTTTTGTGTCTTTTGGTTAGAGACCTCGGAGTGGGATTGCTGGGTCATATGGAAGCTCCATTTTTTGCAGCTTGAGAAACCTCCAAATAGCTTTCCATAGTGGTTGGACCAGTTTGCATTCCCACCAGCAGAGCATCTTTGACAACATTTGTTGTAGCTAGTTGTCTTAAGATGTGCCATTCTCAGTGGTGTTTATTTACACTGAGGGTAAAGAAAAGGACAATGAGGACAGGGCACAGGAAAAGAAAACATGGCTGGCATGTACCAAGTGCCATTTATCCTACCCAGAGAACAGCCACTCAACTCAGTTAAGGTCAGAGTCCAGGCAGGAGCCACAGGCTGGGTCCTGGCTGAGGAAGCCCATGAAGTGGCAGGTGAGAGACAACTGAAATTCAGAGCCCTCAAAGAGGCAGGAGGGATATCAGCTGACAGCCCCAGTCACAGGCAGACCCTAGGTGGAAAAGCCTCAAGCCTCAAACTGAGAGCTACAGGCCGGGCGACATCTCAGAAAACCTCAAGCCTGTACTCCTGTCTGTCTTTATAGACCTGCTCTGCCTCTCCATCCTGTCAACTCATTCAGGAAGTCAGGGGGTGGAGCTTTGAGACTCACGCTTTCTTATACTAGACTTGAATTCTGGAATGGCTAGACAAAATCTAATGCCTAGCACCCTCCTTGATGGCACAACGGGTTAAAGTGCAGCACTGCAAAGTTGGCCGCAGCCACTTCCAAGTGAGTTCGATCCCCAACCCAGAGGTGATCCACATGGCACAGCAGACCTCTTCTGCCTCACCCACTTCTCCCCTCAGCAATGTACTTCGTGAATTTGCCTGTTCTGCTCCCCACTCTGCACCACCCCTGTACTTCTGGCCTGTACCCCCAGTTCTGTATGCACAAATAACAAATAAATCTTAAAAAATAAATAAATAGGCCCTCCCTGGTGGCGCAGCGGGTTTAAAGCACTGCACTAAGAAGCTGAAACCACTTCCGCATGATTTTGATTCCCGCCTGCCCTGGAGGTGACCACATGGCGTGGCAGACCTCTCCTGACCCTCCCACTGCTCCCCTCAGCAGTGTACTTCGTTGATCTGCCTGTTCTGCTCCCCACTCTGTCTCTGATGAAGTCTTTCGCCACCCCTGAGTCTCTGGCCTGTACCCCAGTTCTGTATACACAAATAAATAAATCTTTAAAAAAATAAAAATAAATAAATAAAACACAAATATAGGGAGAGACACAATGTTATTTTAAAAAAAGAAAGGAAGGAAGGGGTGAAACCCTGCACAACTGTAGCATCAATGTATCTTTAGTATGGGACAATATAAAGCTAGTTTCCTCTCCCAAGAATAATTGCATTTTTAATGTCAGTGCCTCACTGTACCTATTTATATAAACTAAATCCAAACTTGTGTTTGTTTAAACAGTTTTCACAAATTAAAGTCTGTAGGACCTTTTTCTGGATTCAAATCCTTATTTTGATTATTTAAGAAAATGTATATTGAGACTTAATTTCCAGTTAACACCTTCAAACCTCAAATAAGAAACAAAATGTCAAAACCCAAATCTGATGGGTTTCTCTGGGTATTAAACCTTGGCATACAGTACTGTGACTGGCCATCTTGTTGATCTCAGAGATTGTAATCTCCCCACGGCCCAAACTGGATTTTACTAATGCCATCTGCCCTGGTGCTTGCAAAGCACTGGTAGGGAAAGGCATTCAGAGACTGTTGATCAAGAGTAGTGGGGTGGAGTAGTGGCAGGCTGCCTGGATAAATTAGGCTGAGTCACACTTAATGGACATTTAAGGGGCCCAACTGTAAGTCAGAGCCAGTCAGATTGCACAGACTTTGGCAGTCTGAGCTTGTTATTGATCCCAACCCCAGAGTCTGGGTTCAGGGTTTCTCTAGGAAAAATAAGTCATCTGAGAGTAGTGAGAACCAGGCAAGGTTTATTAAAGTTTTGAGTGCAAGGGAACCAGCAGCGGAAGAGGAAAATTCCAGCCTGGCTCCCTAAGGGAAGATGCCAAAAAGGTTTTAAGGGATTAGTTAGTCTACCAGGGTGGGGTAGAGGGGGCTGATGTCATAACATGTGGGCCAGGTCATACTGGAACTTGCACAGAAGAGAAACATGCTTCTTCATGTGCTCATGTCTCATTAACATCCAGGGTGGGCATGGGAGCATGCTGATGGGACGCTGGTCATGCTCCCTGGGGATTTTTACTAACTGTGCATGCAGGATCCTTCTCCTCCAGGAAATTGTGAAACATCATTAGTCAGGACATAGCACCTCTTGTCCAGGCATGGAGCCTCCTCATTCTGGTGGGCCGAGTGTTTAAACAAGATGGGACTCTCCAGTTCAGCCACAGGCATTTTACCAGTACCAATTTCCTTCACCCAGGCTATCTCAAACTAAAGTCTATCCAAATGAAGAGACTTACACAAGAAATGTACTAACTCAAGGGCCTAGTAGGAGAGGGCCTGGATTTCCAGGAAAGATGCAATCAAAAGTGTGGGATTTAGTGTCATCTCTCCGGAGTTTCATTTTCTCCTTTTACAGAGGTAGAGGCTCACCAACGAGATTCCTACTGTCTGCCTAGCTTAGATGAGGAAACTTTTGCAGAATGAATCAGGAGCCAGGTCTGTGCAGCGCCCGCCCGGCCCTGCTCCGGAGCCCCCGCTGCCTGCCCGCCAAGGTCCGGTGCACACTCCGGCCACATGTCCCATCCGCTTTGCTCCCAGACGCCGCCCGCCGGAGCTGTGCCCAGCCTGGAAGTCCTGGAGTGAGCGCGGCTGGCTGGGAGCGGGACCCTGCCCCGGCCTCGGGCCCTCGGGCTGCGCGCTGTCCTGCTGCCGCCCTCCTGTGGCCGCTGCGGGGCGACCTCCGGCCGTCCTGCGGGCCCCCTCCCTCGGCCGGTGACATCACCGCATTCCCGTCCCGGCTCCTCCCGCCCGCCGCCGCAGTGACAGGCGAGCCGGGCCGGGTGGCGGAGAGGAAGTGCCGGGCCGCCTCGCCGAGCCTGTCCCCGCCGAGGCCGGCTCCCCCCGGCGGCTCGGGTGACAGTGTCGCGGCCGCCGGGCGCAACGCCGGGCACGCGCGGGCTAGAGCCGAGCGCCAGGCGGACGCTTCAGCGGGGCCGCGGGGAAAATGGCTGATGACTTTGGCTTCTTCTCGTCGTCGGAGAGCGGGGCCCCTGAGGCGGCCGAGGAGGACCCGGCTGCTGCCTTCCTGGCCCAGCAGGAGAGTGAGATCGCCGGCATAGAGAATGACGAGGGCTTCGGAGCACCTGCAGGCAGCCAGGCGGCCCTGGCGCAGCCGGGACCGGGAAGTGGAGGTGAGTCAGCGCGGTGGACTGGAAACTGGGGAGCTGGAGGCACGCACCCAGCTTCCCCGGCTGGCACAGTAGAGTGGAGAGGGCCCGCTCTGGCCAGCCAGCGGCAGGTCTGGGGCTCTGTGTGCATGTGAGGGACACCTGGGAGAATGTCGAGGCCTTGCCTGGATCTGCTGGCTCACAGGACAAGAATTCACCCTGACATTTCATCCCAGGCCAGTTCACCACTGCCTGCACCCGCCTGAACCTCCCAAGGCTCCTAGTTAAGTCCTGTCTGTAGGTGTGAGCAGAGCCCCAGGTCTCTCTCAGGCTTAGCTCTCTCCTACAGCTAGAAAAGCAGGAGGCTCTGGGCGCTCCAAGAGCTCTCAAGCCTATGCTGGGGACCACCCGCCTTCCTGCATCCCTAGCCTAGACAACATTATGTCGAATCATTTCAAACACATTATTAAACCATTACAGAAATGGCAAAATGCAAGGCTGAAAGGTACACCACTGACAAAACTAGTAAGTGGCAGAGTGAGGCTTTATTCTGTCAGATTCTACCACCTGGCCGCTGAGTAAGACATGGGTGGGGGCGGGGGCTCTATGGACACCAGTCAGATGTGGTCCTGTCCTCCCCTGCTCTGGGTCTTCTTAAGGGTTTTCCAGAGGTGGTCCAGACCTATTGTGGTTAGCTTCAGACTTGGGGTTCAGAGTCTGACCTTGCTATATCATGTTTATACTATATTATTGTTCTGGTTCTGGCTTACAAGAACAAATTTCTTAAAATATTTAGTAAAAAAAGTAGCTATCACCTTCATGGGGAGATCCAAAATAGCCTTTGCTTCCTGTTAATGCTTTCATTTTTATGGGGGTTTTGAGCCCATTGGAATACGTGGTAGCTTCATTAAAAAAAAAAAAAGTAAGGCTCTCAGAGTCGTGTTTTTATTCATTTGGTATTTACTGAACACCTACTATGTATCAGGCCCACTGGGACAGAAATGACTAAGACTGTTCCTGTGACTTGAGCTGGAAGCATCTCTATATCCCCTTGATATGCAAGATGTCACAAGGCTTTTGTAAGACTAGGAGTCCAAAGAGTATGAATATCTTCCCCAAATCACACAGTCATGTGTGACAAAACTAAGACTTAATCTCAAGCCTCCAAACTCTAAGCTCTATGCACTTGCAAATGCTGTGACACTGTGCGAGAAATCCCTGCCCACCATCGTTTCTCCACATTTCTTCCTTGAGACCACCAGCTTTCCCAATCAGGATTGGCCTGGGGGTGGCCCTGCTAAAAGTCCACGTTAGAACCCCCCTGGGGTAGGACAGGTGGAAGTAGGGCTGAGGACAGCTGGTGGTGTCTGGGAGTTGAGCAGATGTGTTGACTCTAAGGACAGTGAAGCTCCAGGAACTTCTGCTTGGATGGGAAGGTGCCACTCTGTCAGGGGTGGGACACAGATCTGTGCCAGACCTAAAGTGGCCAGATGAGGAGGGACACAGGTCTCAGAGGGCTCCCCAGACTCTCTCCTATTGAAATTGCAAATGCTTAGCTGTCCTCCTAAATGGGGCACTGGGAACAGGGAGGTAGTAGGGGGTAGCACTCCATAGTGTCCAGAGAGGATGAAATTGATCTGACCCTCCTAGACATACATTATGCTGAGCAAGTAATCCTTCCCTGATCAGGGGATGAGTCTAGAATGTGGGTGGGTGGATCCTCCCTGGCTGTGCAGTGGGTTAAAGCCCAGCACTATGAAGTTGTCAAAGCCACTGCAGCATAAGTTGGATCCCTGGCCAGGGAGGTGACCCCATGGCGCAGCAGACCTCTCCTGTCCCGCCCGCTGCTCCCCTCAGCAGTGTACTTTGGTAGATCTGCCTGTTCTGCTCCCAGGTCTGTCTCCTGTAAATCCTCTCACCCCCCCACAGCTCTGGCTGTACCCCAGTTCTTGTATGCATAAATAAATAAATCTTAGAAAAAAAAAAAGAAAAAGAAACCTGGGTGCGGTACAGAAAATGTTCCTTGGCCTGCTGAAAACTGGGGGGAAGCTGGGTCCTGCAGCAGACACCAGGCAACACCACTGAGTCTTGTTTCTTAGATGCTGGATCTGCTGAATGCCTTCTGTTGGCTCCCAGGATCCCCTGGGAAAGAAGTTTCTGGAGTAGGCCTGAGCCTGAGCCACACTGAGTCTTTCCTCCCAGGCTGGAGCTGAGACTGCTTGAGCAATAGACACTTTGTTTCCATTCTTCAAACTGGGGTAGGGCAGGGAGGTTTATATTTTCACACCCAGATTTTTGAGTGCCAGGTCTGGCTCTGCCCATGACTTGTCCAGTCATTTCCTGGCAAGCCCATTTCCCCTGCTGGGCCTCGTTAAGCTCCCAGGAATGCTCTGGACCCTGTGTACCCCTGTTCTGGCAGGGGCCAAGCATCTGAGGGAAGCAACACCCTCAAGGTTACCCCTGGGACGCATATCTACTCTGCTTCTGTTCTGCTGGCCTCTGTGGACACATGATGATAAATGTGCTGTATTCTAATCAGAAAGCATTGAGGGAACAGATATTCGTAGTTCTGTGTGTGGGTGTGTATGGATTTCCAGAGGCGTGCTTACGGGACTGGGAGGCCAGCGCAGACAGGCTTTCCAAAGGCCAAGGTGGGCACTTGCAGGTGAGGTCTGAGACTGGTGCGGCGGGCGCTACTGCTCCTGCTCCAGAAAAGCCAAGTGTACAGACTGGCACCATTGTGAATGAGCCCTAGTGACATAACCTGGTAGAGCAGATAGGCCCAGAAAGGAAGCCCTTTGTGAAAGATGCTGCCTCTATATCTCTTTCAGCCTTGCCCTAATTTAAGGACCAGGCCGAAGCCCCATCTGAATGAATAGGGATGACCAATGACAAGCTGGCCAGAATCAGTCACTGGCTGAAAACAAAAGTTGATTATACTTATAGCAACTGGGCAATATTTCCATGGCATTAAGTATCACGCCTTTCAGTCCCCAGGCTGGAGGCCTGGTTGCAGATGGCAACTCCATTAGCCTGATAAAAGGGTGCTTGTTAATAGGTAGTAATCTTGTGGGCCTGTGACTCTGAGATAGGCCTTGCAGACAACAGTGGTCCCCAGAAAAGCAGTTCAGCTTCTACTCAGCCACCACTTACTGCTCCCCCTTTCTTTGCAAGAGTCCTGAGGAGCTGAATGAGATATAGAACTTGATAAGGAAGTGTGTCACCTTTGGGAGTCACAAGGAATTGCCTAAGAGGGTGGGGATGCTGTGCATTATTCTGCGATACCCCAGAGATTAGATCCTCCTGTAGCACCTGGGGAAGTAAGGGATGAAGGGAGGGCTCCCCAGAGGAGGTGACATGTGAACTGGGCCTTCAAGAATGACTGGATCCTGAAGATTATTATTGAGAGAGGGAAGAAGGGAGAAAAGTATGGGGTGTGGAGTGTGGTGTTTGGGGAAGGAGGAAATAAAATTTTAGGGTTTGTGGGAGAGACTGATGGGGAGGGAGGTATCAGATCGTGAAGCTTCTGCAGGTGCTATATTCTGGAATTTGATGTATTTATTTGACAAATATTTACAGAGCCCATATTATGCACCAGGCATCTTTCTAGATGCTGGGCACCAACAGTGGGCAAAACAATCCCTAGCCCTCATGGAAGCTCCACTGAAGTGGGGAAGACAGATGATAGAGCCCTCCCCCTGCAACACACACACACAGGCCTGTTGGGTGTGGCCAGTGTTGTTGAGAAGATAATGTCAGAGGAGGAGGAGGGAAGCTGAGAAAATGGTGTCCAAGGGCTGAATGTCAGGGGTGGTCAGGAAGGGCCTCAAATTGGCTCACCTTCTAGCAGAGGCTGAGGGGAGTGAGGGAGCAGCTATGTGGAAATGTGAAGTCTTCTAGTCTGTAGAAACAGCACCTGCCATGACTCCAAGGTGTGAGCCGGCCCTCCAGTCCATGGATTCCGTTTTGTTTTTATCATATATTTGGAAATCAGAGGAATGACATAGGTAAGTGTATGCTTTACAAAATAGCTTTGGCAGTTGGTTTGAGAGAAACTGAGCTGAAGTTAGGGAGAAACTAGAGTGAACATGCATTCATTTTACACACACACACACTTCTCCATCTGCTTATGCAACAGGTACTTTCTGAGCTCTTACTAGGTGCAGGCACCATGCATGGCTCTGGGGAAGATGGTGGTAAAGAAACAGGACACAGGTATGCCCTCCAGGTGATTGCCACTAGTAGGGCAGACAGACCAAGGCACCTGTATGTGCCTGGGGCAAGGAGAGTGCAGTGAGTGGAGGGCAATTTTGAGGGTCACTGTTGCAGCAGAAATCACATAAATTTGGGACTTCTCAGATGTCCAGGAAAAGAACTTGGAGTCATCATCATCAAGGACAACAAAAATTCCTTTAGGAGGGACAGAGGGAAGGGAGGTAGGCCAGGTGCTGCCAGTGGGTTCCTGCTCTTCCAGGTGGAGCAGTTAGGCCCTGCAGGGACGGAGCAGTGGGCAGTTTCCTCCTAGCTCTGGAGACCTGCCCTGACTCTACAGCATCTCTGCTGCTCACCAGGTACAGGCTCCACAGACAGTTGGGCCACTCCCAGTCATGGTCACATTAATTTCAGGTGGGGAAGCAACTGCTGGTTGGGTGGTCTGGGACTCAGACTCTTTGAGTCTCAGGTTGAAAATCTGAAAATGGATGAGTAACTTCATCACAAAACTGTTGAAAATCAAATGTGATAATGGCTATGAGAAAAACAGGCAAGGGTTGGACCCAAGTTACTTATGTCTGTGTGTGGGGGTCAGTACATACCTGGGTATGCATTCCTTCACACCATTTTTTGTTGTTTTTTAGATTTATTTATTTATGCATTCAAGATCTGGGGTACAGGCCAGAGGTGTAGGGGCATGAGAGGAGTCACCAGAAACACAGTGGGAACAGAAAAGGCAGACTGACTGAAACACACTGCTGAGAGAAGCAGTGGGGGAGACAGGAGAGGTCTGCTGTGCCATGGGGGTCAGCTTCCTGGCTGGGGGTCGAACTCATGCTGCAGTGGCTGTGGATAGCTTCACAGTGCTGTGCTTTAACCCCTTGTGCCACCAGGGAGGGCCTACTTCACACTGCTTCTACCAGTGACAGACCACATATACAATGGTGGGCCCAACAGGTGATACCGTACAGCCCAGGTGTGTAAGACTAGCCTATTGCTGTATGTGCAATTACACTCCATGACACTTACACAACAATGAAATCACTCAATGATGTATGTCTCAGAACATATCCCCATTGTCAAGCAAGGCAGAACTGTATAGGGTTGACTGGGGGGTGCTAATGTAAGACCATATTGTGCTTGCTATCACAAATAATGCTCTCTCCCGTTCTCTTTCTAGCTAGTTCTGAGGACCTGGGAACCACAGTCAATGGAGATGTGTTTCAGGTAAGTGTGACTCTCTTAGCAGTGGAAAGGGCCGGTAAATTGAGTCTTGTAATTTGCCCCTATCAGTGGTGAAGACTCTAAGTTCTTTTGCCCTTTACATCCAAAACATCAACATATTAGGGAGGGAACATAGAGAAAGTTTTTGACCTTTTCTTTTTGCCACATAGGAGGGGATAAAGTTTACAAGTCACTAGAGATGGGGGCTGTGGGGTGTGGCCTCATGTTACCAAGCCCACTTTCCAGGTGGACAGATAAAGTAATCTCTCCACTAGGTGGGGTTTAGCCACCTAAATGGCCTGGACTGAAAGCAACACGCAGGGCCCTGCCTGGGTGTGTGCCATTGGGGGAGCCTAACCAGAGTGACTATATCTGGCACATAAGAGCGTTTGAACTGGGCAGAATCCAGAGATTCCAGAGATTCCACTTAGAATTTTTCCCAAGAGAAATCACTGGGCAAAGACATCAGATTATGTGCAGGATTATTTATAAAGCGAAAACACTGGAAACAGCCTACGTGTCCAGCATCAGGGGCCTGACTAGGTAAACTGGAAAAGTGTCATTGTTAAAAAGAACAATCAGAGCTTCTGTAGTGACATAAAAAGATGCCCACAATATATTATGTGGGAAAAGCAGCTTGCAGAATAATATACACAATATGGTCCTGTTTTTTATTTTAGAAATATGCTGAGAAAATTCTGAAAAGATGTGAACCAACTGTTAACAGGGTTAGCTCTGGGGTGGAGGGTGGAGGAGGATCACTAAAGGGCTTTCACTTTCACTGGATTGCTTTAAAATTCTTAATAGCGCTCCTATACTACAAGCACACACACAGGTGCAAACACCCACGTCCATACACATGTGCGCACACACACACGTGAACCAAAATCACACGCAGTAAAGCTATTTCTAGTTAAACTGCTTCTCCCTTCATCCATCTAACCCTCTCCTCTCTTATTCAAGGAAATTGGTGTAAGGTTCCTTATACCGAGAGAACTCACACATGAATGGCGTGGCCAGGGTCTCACAGATGCAGCATTTCTCAGCCCTATGCCCAGATGCTTGGGAGGCAGTCCTCATGGGCGAGCCTTAATTCCCACCCAGACTTGACCCCTGGGGCCGCAGTCGTGGGCTTTCAGCTGAGCCCCACCCTGTCTAGGAACTGGCTACTGAATCCTTGGGGTGGAATAAACAATACTTTCTTATGTAAGAGGGAGGGGCTGGTACCTTACATGGGGAAGCGGCCAAATGCCATTTCTGGAAAATTACTCACTATCAGCAAGGCAGATATGTCAGCATTCTGTAGAGTTGAAGGAGCTCTGTGTCTCCTTGGGCCTGGGAGCACAAACAATAATCCTAACTCTTTACCAGCTGGTAGGCCTTTGAGACTCAAACTGTTATCAGGACTTAGCTTGGTAAAAAAGACAAACTTTTTTTCTTCTCTCTTTCTAGGTTCTTGACTGAGATCCCATTATAATAAAAGACAGATTAACAGGAGAAAAAACAAACTTAATACATCCCAGAGCTCCCTAAAAGACGTGAGGCTACCCGACAGTCAGGTGGTTGGGGTTTATATGCCATCCTGAGTTAGGGAGGAGGGGATAGGGGTCTGGGCCCACAAAGGGGAAGAAGAAAATTTACTGGAAAATGGGAAAGCAAATGTTTAGTAAACGAATGTTTGCCTTTCTCCTCAGAAAGGACTTTGAACAAAAAGCCTGGCTATCTTCCCTTTTTCCCTCACCCAACCTCCCTCCACCTAGCCTGTCCTACCACACCTAGCTTAATATTCTGTGCAGACAACTCTTTGATGATAACTCTTTTCTGGAACAAGCTTCAATCCAAATTATTTTAGTCAGTTGAGGGAGAGGTAAAGAAAAACTTCCTGAGTCTGTTGTTTCTCTATTGTTTCTTAAAAATAATCAGCCTAAAATAATCTTTATGCCATTTGGGGGAGAGGAAGTTTGCTCCCCTACAAACCAAACTGGATCTGGTACTAGAGATACACATGTGTTAGAAAGCAAAATAAACAAACCAAAAAAACCCTTAAGAGCTCTTTGGTTTTAATGCCTGATTCTTGGAAGCAGGCAACACCCTACCTAGCACGTAGCACTATGAAGGGTGTATATACAGAAAGACTTTGTAGGCAGAAAGAGAGTGGAACGAAGTTATTTGTAAAAGATAATTATATGAAGCAAAGCCATCTTCCCTTAGGGGAAGACAAGGGGGAGTTTGGAGGGGAGGAGGCTGAAATTGCAATTAGGTTAGGTATTAAATTTGGGTGGGACTTCGGGCCTGTTGTTTTTATAACACTTAGGACACAGACTATTAGCAGGATCAGGTTCCTTTCCAGGGTTAGGGTCTTGAGGTCTTCTCCCTTTCTACCCATCAGCTGCATTTTGTATTTAGATCTGAAGAAACTGGGCGTCTCCCCCAATCTCACAGAACTTTTATTCTCACTGCTACTGATAACTAATAACTCTGGGTATGTTTATTTATAAATTATTTCATATCCCTACCATCCTAGGATCCTGATGGCCAGTGAAGTGTTACTTAAAGCTGAGTGGTAAAACTCAGGTTCACCTACATCACCTCGGCGGGCCCTATTGCCTTTGGTTGCTGGAAACGGCCAAGAATGAGCATAGAGCGTTGCGTGTTTGGTGCCTCCCCAACACTTTTAAGGGTCCTGGGCAAAACTTTCTTGCTACTCTCTTTTCTCTTTCTGGCAGCTTGGGGACCACCAAGGGCTACAGCTACGATCCCCAAGAAGCCCTAAAAGTAAGCCTGCTCAATTCCAGTTCCATCTGACACTGCCAGGTGTAAGGAGAGAAGGTTCCGGTAGACTCCGTCCCCTGCACAAATGCTGTCCCTTCCTGCACACGCTGCCACCATTCCCTTTCAGCTACTTAGAAAATCCAACAGCTCAGCTTAGCTTAGCTTTAGCTAAAATCCCCAAGATGGACATGGCTCCTTCCCTTGCTGTCCCTGGAGCCACAGCCTGTGCCCCTGCAGAAGGCCCCTCAGGAGATGGTCTGAGAGAAGCCTGGCCCTGACTGCAGCCTCCTTGCCTTTTGATCTGGCCTGTTCCTGACCCCTCCCCTCTCTAGAGCTTGGAGAGAGAGAGACTCAGAGCATTGCTGCTGCAGCCACGGCTGAGCCCTCCTGGCAGCTGTTGATCTGATTTCTCCACTGGGACCCTCGAGTGATCAAAGGGCAGCCCTACTGGGGCTGTAACCTGCTCACGGGCTGGGGCAGGGGCAGGAAAATAAACCCACTGGCTGGAGGAGCTGAGCCCGCCTGCCAACAAGTCCACTGTGCTCTTGGGTGGCAGGCACGCACCAGAGCTATACTACCCTGGCTTCCCCTCACCTGTGTGCATGTGCTAAAGGCTTCAGAGGACTCCCGTGTGGGCACCCGCAGTGGGAGGTCGGATGTCATTCCCCTGTAACAGGCGATGAAACCCCAGGAGCCCAGGGAAAGGACACACTTCCAGTGAGTGGCAGGAGGGACTTAAAGTATAGTCCCTCTGACACCATGTTCCAGGCTGCCCTTGTGCCCTCCACATTCCTTGGCCCGTGGCCACTCCATCTTCCACAAGTCAACCCCACATTTTCTGAGGGCCACATACCATGCTTGGGGCAGTGGGTGTAGAGGCAAATGTAGTGCTTGTTTGTGCTTGAAGAGCTCACTTCTCATAAAGGACAGAGACCTGCAAAGAAGTGAGGGTGTACAAGGTGGTATTAGGCATAGTGTTATGGCATACGTGGCGACAGAAGAATTGAGTGTGTGAGTTCTTACCCCGTGTTAGGTACCCCCAGGAGCTTTACATGTTTTAGCTTATTTCATCCTCCTGACACCCTGTGACATAGACCCTCTCCCCACCCCCACTTCACAGACTAGAGGGAGGGCTCAGGGCAGGTTCCATAGCTCGCTCTGATCACACAGTTGGGAGTGCTGGGACTGGATTCAGAGAGCACCACAAGGAAGGGGTGTGGAAGTGGGCTTCCAGGCCAAGTGGTATCCCTGGATGTGCCATGCATCTGCCCAAGCCTGACACATGTGGGCCTGGGCCTTCCGTCCAGGCTGCTCCCATGCCCACCGAGGGTGTTGTGGCAGGTTGCAATGGAGTCAGAGACTTGGGCTCCATGTCTGGCTTTTCCCAGCCAGCTTATTAATCACTTGGCTGCTCTGAACTGGATTCCTTATTTTTAGAATGGAATGGGGATTGGAGGCTCTACCCCGCTGCCCCACGGGGTTATTGAGAAAAGCATGCTGCAGTCTGGGGAACTTTTTATAGATTCCCGACCCAGCTAGGTAGTGAGTCTAGATGGGGTGTCAGGGCCTGGGGGATGGGTGCAAGTGTGTGGGGTATGAGAGCGAAATGGGGGGTGGGGCGATGGAGGAGGGGGACGCTGTCTTTAATCTTGGGGAGGAAGATTCCTCAGGGAGACAAAAAGACGCACAGATCATGCTCTTCAGAAATGACTTTGGTCGCTACTGGCTACTCTGTGGCCTGTGTGTCCACACTCAGGGATTAAGTTTGAGTCTCAACTCTGCCATTTCCCAGGTGACTTGGCAGCTTTGGAGCTAGACCTTCCCTACCTGTTAAACAAAGATAATAAAACATGTTCTAATGTAGGGTTGTAAGGATCAAAGACAACAGTTTAATTGCAAGTTTTAAAGCACTATATGACACGGGAGCCTTAATCTGGAGGCTGGCTTTCTGGAGGTGGGTGCTGAGGGACACCCCTGGGAGGAGATGCCTGTCCAGAGGCCCTTCTCCAGCCTTTCTCTCCTGCTCCATCTCCTCGCACACCTGCGGACACCTCTGTACTGAGTTTCCCAGCGGCCCTGACGCCACATGGGTCCTTGTGCTGTCATCTCTTGTTCTGAAATGTCTTTTCCCGACATTTTCCCACCCAACTCCCACAGTAGAAGTCATGTCTCCCATGTCTGCCCTCTTTCCATGATCTGCATTCAACTGTGCACCCCAATCATAGTCCTTTGTGGAGGGATTCCCCCATCCAAGCTGCAGGATGATGGGCTGTCTTGTTCATCCCTGTCCCCAAGTCTGAGCAGCTATTAACTTACTCCATGCATGTTCTAGAAATCCTCCAGTGGCCAGGCCCTCCCTGTTCTAGATAGTCTGGAGACAGGCAATTTTTCTAGGGAGTTTACTTAATTAAGGGAAGGGAGATAGCTAATAAATGTGTAAATAAATAAGTCATTTCAGATAGCAGTAGGTGCTATGAAAAAATATATATATAGCACCTGAACACACACACACGTACACAAAGTAACTGTGTAGTTGGCTGGAGATGCCTTCTATAAGATTGGGCAGGGGTCCTGATTCTCAAAAGGGTTTTCCCAAAAGGGCCTTTCCCAGGGTGGGACTTACCCAGAGATCCGTGATCAACTTGTATTCTCCAGGGCCCTGGAGAGACTCTACATTGATCTGTGTGGGAAAGAGGAATTAAGGGCGGTGTCTCAGCTGCCCCTCCCAAGGGTGGGCCTGATCTGAAGTGCCAGGCTATGCCACCCTCGGCCTGCCCTCTCCCCCCCCCCGCCGCCCCCCGACAGCTGGAGACCAGCCCTGATGTTCCTCCTGCCTGCTCCTTTTCCCTGGCTGCTCACACTTCCTGGGCATCTCCTCTGCACTGGTTCACGCTGGCTCCAGGGATGGCCACTGTGCCACTACTGAGCCCTGGCTGTGTGGCAAGGACAATGACGGGGAGGGTTGCTGCTGGACAGCAGACACGCCACACACTGTCCCTTGGGGAGAAGATACTGAGCGACAGTATTCATGAGAGTTCTGACCAGTGCTTGAAGGAGGCTCCAGGGAGCCTCTGCAAGGACAGCACAGGGCCCAGAGGTCACTATTCGATCCTGTTCTACCCCCAGGAGCTCCCAGCAGGGAGACTTACACCATAGAAGGTGAAGATTGTGCCAGACTGCACAGAGAGAAGGGGCACAGATGTGTGGGGGCTGGGAAATAGCCCAGAGCGAGTGACTTAGTTGACTTGTGGGCTGGAATAAGATTTCATCAGCTGCAGAAGGGAGAGGAGTGGGGGGCGGGGCAGCCGAAGTGTGTGGGATGGGGATGAGCCCGACTGGAATGTGTAGGGGTGGAGAGCCAGAGTGGGAGTGGTACAAACCAGGGCTGGATGGGGCTTTTCAATTCCACAGAGAGTCACATCCTTTCTGGGCTGAGCTTTCCCCCAAACGCTTCAAGTTCCAACCCTGGTAGGCAGCACAGAGAAGGCAGCAGAGTCCCCTTCCTGCCCTCCAGACTCCACCCCACTCCTGCCAGTGTCAGTGGCCCGGACTCTGGACTCTGGCCCTGGTTTGAGCACTGTGTTATCGCATCTTTCTGACCTCAGTCTTCAGTGTGGTAAAAGGGATGACAGGTAATAATATTAATGCTGATGAGAAGCCCACCTGCCACTCGTTGAGCCACAAGGCCATGCCAGGCACTGTTGTCTATGTCTTACAGATATTATTGTGTCAAGTCCTTACAATGTCTCTTAGAGGTAGCGTTGTTGTTCCCATTTTCAGATGAGGAAGCTGAGGCCCAGCTAGAGAGTAAGCAGCGTGCCCCCGGCCACACACACGGCGGCGTGGAGCGGTGGCATTTGAACTGAGTCCAGCTGTGGAGGCCAGGTTCTCCATCCCCGCACAGTCTCAGCCAGCCATGGCTGGCCTGTACATTTCAGGACTGTTTGTTCGTTCAACAAATATTTATTGAGTATCTGCTAGGTGCAGCTGCTGCCCTGGGCTCTAGGGGACACATTAGTGAACAGGACAGACGAGGTCTCCGCTGTCACAAAAGCGACATTCTAATGGAGGAAACAATGGCAAAGTAAACACATTATAGAGCGAGGTCATTGCAGACTAAGTGAGAGTCAGTAAATAAAACCATAGTAGAGAGGGCTTCCTCTCTTTTTTCTTAGAAAATGACGAATAACAGTAATGTATTAAAGCCTGTACCTGAGACATTTGAAGTCGTTTACATTTTAAAGCTCAGTTCATCTTTATAGTGACTCTTTGGGGTGGGTACAATTTTTGGCCCATTTTATGAGGGAGGGGAAATACAGAGAGGCTGAGTAACTTGTCCATGGTGACATGGGGGGACGATTGCTGGCAGAAGGCCCAGCAAGTACAAAGGCAGAGTACAGTCACAGGAGAGTGTGGGTGTGAGGTGTCGAGGCATGCAGATGGCAGGGGGTGTCCTGGCACCGGGGCTACAGAGACAGCGGGGCGGGGCAAGGGCAGGGTCCATTGTGCTGTTTGTGTGCCAGGAGGCGAATGGTCCCACCAACGGCTATGCTGCGATTGCCCGGGCTGACAGGCTGACGCAGGAACCTGAGAGCATCCGCAAATGGCGAGAGGAGCAGAGGAAACGGCTGCAAGAGCTGGGTGAGGGCGGGGTTGAGGCTGGGAGCTGCACTGGGTGTTCTCCCCGCCCCCCATGCCTGGCTCCCAGCAGGAGGCGGTTTGGGACAGTGTGGGGCTTGGGGGGACATGGGGCCATGAAGTGCTGTAATGAGGGAATTGGGTCAGGTGGGCCCAGGCACTGCCTGCTGGGGCTGAGGAGGGAAGCGGGTGGGACAACTGTGTCTTCACGTCTCTGTTCGAAATTCCCACTCATTCTCCTCTTGGCATTGCAGATGCTGCGTCCAAGGTAATGGAACAGGAGTGGCGAGAAAAGGCCAAGAAGGACCTGGAGGAGTGGAACCAGCACCAGAGTGAACAAGTTGAGAAGAACAAGATCAACAACCGGTGAGAGGAGGTCCGGGGACCTGGGGGCTGTGAGGACACAGTCACTATGGGGTATGAGAGGCTGTGATATGCAGCCTGTCTGGAAGAGGGGTCGGTGACGTGGTGGCAAGAGCACCAAATTGCCCTGAAGCTCAGTCATGTGCAGCTGGCACAGCTGGCTGGGCCCTATGTTGCCACATCACTGTCAATATAAGCCCGGCCGGGAGTCAGAATCCAGCCTGGGCCTGAGTTTGATTGCTTATGTATGTGGTACGGCTTTAACCCCCCATGGTGGGGAGTAAAGGAAGTCAATGTTCTGTGTCACAGCTGAAGAGGCCAGGGCAGGGCTGCAGGCTCCACGGGCTCAGGGATCAAACACAGTCAGTGGACACTCATTTTTTTTTAAAGGTTTATTTATTTGTGCATACAGAACTGGGGTACAGGCCAGAGGCTCAGGGGCGGTGAGAGGCTTCACCAGAGACAGAGTGGGGAGCAGAACAGGCAGATCGACGAAGTACACTGCTGAGGGGAGCAGTGGGCGGGTCAGGAGAGGTCTGCCACGCCATGTGGTCACCTCCAGGGCAGGCGGGGATCGAACTCATGTGGAAGTGGCTTTAGCTTAGTGCTGTGCTTTAACCCGCTGCGCCACCAGGGAGGGCCAATGGACACTAATTTTAACTGCCCAACAGCACTGCCCTCCTCTAAACTGCCTCTGGTGTGGGGGCAAAGTGGCACCAGAAGCTCCAGGCTTCTGCTCTCTGCTCATGTCAGCCTCAGTGAAAATAGCATCTTGCTCCAACTGGCTCTGGTTGAAGTCCTTGGCCTTACCCTTACTGGCATGTGTCCATCCTAGGCCCAGTGACTATACCAGGGGAGAGACCCTCTAATAGGCCCAGCCTATTAGATAATTCTACCTCTGGGTGGTACAGTGGGTCAGTCCCACACATCAGGACTCAAGTGGGGGCAGACTAATCCTGCCAAGGGTAGTCAGGAAGCTTACTGGGAAGGAGGCAACAGCAGTGGATACTCCCCAGAGAACATCTTCTTGGAAGTGGCCTCAGACTAGACACTGCTCAGCAGCCCCTGCCATGTAGGCTGCACTCCTTCAAGGTACATTCTCTAGCAAGGGCAGGTCTGGTTCTGGAGTGCTGCCATACTTCTCTTCAAGAAGTTGCTGCATGTTAGGCTTTGGGATGGGCACAGGGGATACAGAAATGAGTTGGCCTGAGTCTGCATCTGCAAAGAACTCAGAGAAGAGAATCACATGCACAGTTGGAACACAAGCATAGCAGTAGGGTTTTCTGCAGGAAGGCCGTGGAGGCAGGGGTATGGGTGGTAGAGGAACCTAGGTATCTGGGGACCTGGGCTTTGTGGATGAGTAGATCATCAGGAGATAAAGGTTAGGAGGTGGGGGAGGGTATTCAGGACCAGGTGTGAAAAAAAGGACTTTGTGTTTTGGGCATCAGGGAGTCAGGGGTGGCAGGAAAGAGTGCACATACAGTGGGGTCACAGTACACGGTCTGAATCCCAAGGTGGTGCGATCCACGGAAGGTTTGTGATCAGGAGTAAGAGGATCAGGGCTGGATTTCAGAAATGGTGCTTAGGTGGGTGCCAGATCCCCTCTTCTCTTTGGGCTATTGCTGAGCCTCCCAGAACTGCACTTGTAATAACACTTCTCCGACGGGAGGTACTAATGCTGTCTCTTTTTCTCTTTAACCCTCTGCCTGCCTGCCTGTCTATCTTGCCATCCGTCTCCCTGCTCCCCAACCCCTTCCCCTAACCTTTCCCGCAAGGATCGCTGACAAAGCATTCTACCAGCAGCCAGATGCTGACATCATCGGCTACGTGTACGTGTCTCCTTGGCTCCTCTGTGGAGGTTGCTGGAGAGGACATGGGCCCCAGGTGTGGCTGGCACAGTTTCTTGAGTCCCCTGCTTGTGGGTATAAGTGAGTGTGGCCGGGCTTGGGGCAATGTCCAGAGCAGAAGGTGAACCCGCATGGCAGGTGCAGGCACCGACCTTCACCTCTACCCTCCAGCAGCTGTCTGTTGAACGCCCTCCTTTGCCTGGAAGCAGCTCTGCTGAATTGAGGCAAGAGAAAAGCAAGAAGTACATTGGTCAGCCCCAGATGGGAGAAGCTCCTGGCAAAGCAGCCCCAACTCCCTTGGAGATGCTTCTTGTGGGTGGGAAGGGTAAAGCTCTCCTTGATTGAGCAAAACAAACATTGAGTGTGGGAGGCTAGAGGCATAAAGAAAACTAGCAGAGCCTCCTCCATGCACACCACCTCTCCTTCTGCCTCCGAGTACATGGCTTCTCCTTAAAGCTTTGGTCAGGGTTCGGCCACCAGTCCTAGCCCACACCACCAGTCCCTCTCATGTTTCTGGTTCGGGATCTTGTTGCTACTGCAACTCCCAGACCTACATGGCCAAGAGGATCCCTTTCGTGTTAACTCAAATGGCTGGTGGCATCAGCCTGAAGAACATGGTGAGGAGGGATCACTGTTGGTGAACCCCTGGGTGAACCCCTGGGCTAACCCTAACAGAACACAGGCTTTGCCAGGGTAACAACCTCCCCTTCCAGCCGCTGTCCCACCTGCCTGGCACTTACTGGTACTTACCTAGCCAGCCTCTGGTCCTACAGGGCTAGGTACACACAGCCTGTCCCCTGCCGAACAAGCTCATGGGCAGGAGGAGCTTGTTTGCTATAAGAACCTCATGGAAGGACATGCTGAGCTCTGCTGCTGGTGAGGTTACGGCACAGCCAGCCTTTAGAGGTTCAGGATGTCCATTTGGACTTAAAAGTGTCTGAAGGGAAGCCCTGGGTGGGGAGGATGCCGGGAGTGGGAGAAGCAGCTGGGCGAGACAAGACAGACAATACTTACCTGCCCGAAGCACTGGTGGTGGGGATGGGTTGGGGCCAGGCCAGGGTGGGGCCAGTTGCAAAATGCCTGCTGTGACAGGTGAGTGAATTAGACTTGATCCTAAAGACAGCAGGGAGCCATAGAAAGTTCCAGGTAGGGAGCATCTATGCTGGGGAATCCTGGGGAATCCAGTGGTCCTGTTGAACCTGAGGAAATGACCCAAGGAGCAGTCAGAAGAGTCCCACAGAGGGGGAGAGTCTAGAGCGGTGCTCCTCAAACTTCCTGTGCCTAGATCCACCAGGGACCTGGTTAAAATGAAGGTTCGGTTCAGAAGGACTGAATGTGGCCACAAGGTTCTAACAAGCCCTCCTGTGGTCCCCACTGGTACCACCAGTGAGCAGCAACACTGGAGCCCAGAAGAGCTCCCCTCAAATTCCCCAGCCATCGGACTCCACACAGCACATTCTCTCAGGCCTGCACGCTCCTTCTGCCTCCTTAGATTCCTGAGCCAGAGAGGCAGAGCTGTGAGGGGGAGGCGTAGTGCCTCACTTTTCAGGGAATGAGCACACAGCTGGTAAGCCAGTCCATCCTGGCGCAGCCTGTGGGGGATCACCTGGAGAGCTCTCTGCACTTACCAGTGCCTGGCAGCTGCAGAACTGGTCCTGCTTGAGATGCTGATGGGGCTTCCAAGGAGAAAGGGCTTCCCAGAGGCCCTCGCTGAACAAAAAGGCTCCAGGTCCAGTCTTCCCATCTAAGTCATTTAATGACTCCCGTGTTCATCCATTCAAATTATTTACTATACTTTGTGTCTCCCTAGTGTCTTAATTGTGGCTCCTACAGTGGCAAGCAGAACTGATGATGAAATCACCAGTTCTTATCTTCACTTGATTCCCACCAAAGCCAAGACATCCCCTCCCACCCCCATGGTAGCATTCCTCAGGTTGTGGCTCCCTAGAGATCATGGTCATCCTGGGCTGTCATCAGATATGCTTGGGGTACAGCCGAGTCTGTACCCATCGCCTCCGCAACGGTGGTGGCGCCCACACACGTTAGCACGCGGAGGACTTTGAAAGTCTTGCTTAGAAGATCCTCTTTGACCAGGTTGTCCATACATATTTGATCTTTTTCCTGTGGGAGTGTCCACGGAACACTGAAGCAAAGTTGAATTGGGCACTTCAGGCAATTCATGGCATAGTCAATGCCAAGTTTTTGGAAGTGTTGAAAGTAACTGAAAAATTACATTAGTTCCCCCAAGGGCCTATAGGTGTCAGGAGCCCCAAGTTGAGAGCTCCTGGTGGAGAGGTAATGAGCACAGTGTCTGGACTGGTGCAGGGGCAGGTTTGGGGGAGGAGGTAGAGGCTGCTTTGACTTATGGTGGTAAGGAGGTGAGTCTGCACTCAGATATGAATGACAAAAAGCATCTAGTAGGTCTGGGAAAGAACATTCCAGAAAGCGATATAGCATGTGTAAAGGTCCTGAGGCAGGACCAAGTCAGGCTTCTTCTGATGCCAGAACTCTTCTGGGGACCCAAGGTCAACAGACACAGGGCTGGGGAGGAGACCTTTAGACAACAGACCTCAGAGCAGGCTGGGCAAAGCAGCCTTGCTCCGTGGAATTGGTGCATCACTGATTGAGGGGACAGGCAGACAGCTGTGAAACCTCTGTCCTATCTCCACCTGCAGGGCCTCTGAGGAGGCTTTCGTGAAGGAATCCAAGGAGGAGACTCCAGGCACGGAGTGGGAGAAGGTGGCCCAGCTGTGTGACTTCAACCCCAAGAGCAGCAAGCAGTGCAAAGACGTGTCCCGCCTGCGCTCGGTGCTCATGTCCCTGAAGCAGACGCCACTATCCCGCTAGGTGGCTGCCACAAGCATGGCCATAAAGCATGGGCTGTACTCGGCATGGGAGCAGCAGCTGCTTCAGCCAGGGTGGTAACTGCCTCCAGCAGCTGCTTCACAGCCTACTCCGATCCTCCCCATCTCCTGGGGCCAGGAAGGGGAACCCTCACCCACTCACCCGTCATTCCCTCCTGGCCCTTGGCCCAGCCACTCACACCTCCTCTCAGTCTACAAAATTATGACTGTCCCTCCTGATGTATTTTTTTTTTTGGCTTAAAGGGTGTGTTGTTAACTCTTTTTACACTTATTTATTATCTTATTTCTCTGGAAGCTACAACTGGTGTCAGGGCTCAGTTTGTGGTTAGGACTTCCCTAGTTTTGAGGAAAGGTGAGGCTCCCATGAACTCAGGGGTTTCAAGTTGAAGTGGGTATCCATCTCCGTCTCTGTGGCTGCCTCCACTCCCAGGTGGAAAAGACAACCTCTCACAGAAGCTTCTATACCCTTGATCATTTGGATCATTGAACAAGCCTTGAGAGGGCTCTCCTGTTCTCATCACATAGTCCAGGACAGCAAGGCTCCCAAAGGCTAAGTAGCTTGAAGCAAGAAGGAGGGGGCAAGACCAGAGGTCCTGGTGATGGCTTTGTTTCAACTGGGGCAGAGACTGGAGGTGGTAGTCTTTGCCAGACCCCTTTTCTCATGGTGGGAGGGCAGGCACTGCTTTTCTTCCTTCAGCTGGGTCCACCTCTGGACATGAGATCAACAACCAGCGACAACTTCTTTCCCTTTAGCAGAGGTTGCACACAGGTTACATTCAAATTGTTGTCACCTGCAGTGTTTAGAAAAAACTGAATTGCCAACTGATTGTTTTCCTAGAATTGCTATAACAAAGTGCCACAGTAGCTGGCTTAGAACGACAGAATTTTATTGTTTCACTCTTCTGGAAGCCAGAGGTCTGAAATCAAGGTATACACAGAGCCATGTTCCCTTTAAGGATTCTAGGGAAGGATTTGTTGCCGGGCTTTCTGATTCCTGGCAGCCTGCCTGTGGTTCATAGATGCATCACTATAAACCAGAGTTCATCATTATGTCAACCACCTTCTTTGTGTCTTCGTATTCAAATTTCCCCTTTTTATAAGGACACTGGTCAGACTGGATTAGGATCCACCATAATGATGTCTTCTTAATTTATCTTTATAAAGACCCTATTTCCAAATAAGGTCACATCGTGCAGATCGGTGAGTAGGGCTTTAATATATTCTTGTGAAGGGATACAGTAATACCAACAGTAGTGAAAAGTAGTAATTTTCTTTTGAAGTGCCACAATCTTCACCACTCCATGTGAAGATTTACTCCTTGAATCTTTAGTCAATGGGTCACAAGGTATTGTTCTATAAGCTATTACTGCCTTATTGATCAGAAGCCATAGTGGGCGCCAGGAACTTCCTTGACTGTAGACATCCACTGCTTTGCTAGACTGTGTCAGGAACCTCAGGAAGTATTGTCTTCTTGATTTCCTCTTCCCTCCTGCTAGCTTGTAGCTGGCTAGTGTTGAAGATGATGGCATCACTGGGAAGGGGCCAGGATCCAAACAACACTTAAAGGAGAGCCGACCATAAACTGGGAATACCTGTTCGAAATCTTACATGTGTGAAAAACTCACAGGATGTCTTCCAGAATTTTCTCAGGTCCCAGGTTTCCTGGCTTTCGCTTTTCTTCCCTGACCCTGTAAATTCTAGGCACATAAAGCACTGGCAAACTTTGGGACTGTGCTTTCTACCACATCAGGTCGCTCTGCGAGTCTGTTTCCTGTTCTATCCATTCATCAAGCACCAAGCTGGGATGGTCTAGATACTGTGGTGCCCTAGGTGCTCTCATGAGATGGAAGTGTGGCACAGAACAGATGCACAGTTGAGGCATATATGGTTCCCTGCCTCTGAGCTGCATGTGAAGCAAAGTTCCCCACTAAACAGCACTACCCGAGACCCAATGAACTAGAATCTCAAGGACAGGGAACTGTGTCTAACAAGGTGACTGTCACTAGGAAAGTCTGGGAATCATTACTACATGATTTCTATGCACCAGTCTTTAGCATGATTCCCTCTAAAACCAGAACATCAAAACTATGGGCTGAGACACAGAATGAATAATGAATTCACCAACTACAAGTGGATCAGACTTTATTAAATAGCAACTGAAGAGGATGGCACAAACAGAAGCAAGCAACATCTAAAATGAACCGAATCTGAGATTCATGGAGGGAAAAAAAAGTCGGTTACACAATGAGTGACTTCCTCTCCCACTGACAAGAGAGAATATGTCCAGTGGCAGGGTTAGTGGTTGCTCCTGGGGCGGGGAATGACCTCCTTGGAGGTTTTAAGTCCAGGCCAAGGGCTCAGGATCGCGATTTCAGAGCTGATGTAGCGAGACCCAGCAAGATGGCTGCGATGGTCAAGCCCTGAGCGGCGATCCTCGTGCGCATCATGAGCTGGGAACGATGGCTCTGACCACGGTGGAAACAGTAAAGGCCATAGGTGAGGGCGGCCGCGGTGCCCAGGCAGCCTGCGAAAGGGACAGAGTAGGTGGGAAGTTAACGGGTCCTCTCCAGGCTCAAGTTCTACTGCCGGCCGCTGAGGGGGAAGGTGGATGTGGGTGGGGGAAGTGTGGTCGAGGAAGCTAGAAGCGTAGAAGGTAAGAGCGGCTGGTCCAGGCAGGGCCCCCCGAGTTAAAGTCTGCCCCTTCTAGTCCCGCAAACCCGCCCAATTTCTGCTTCAATCAGGTTCACCCCTCGCTGCCCTGGCTCCTCTTTTACCAGGGCACCCGCAATTCAGGTCCCCGCTGAAATCACTATCCTCTCTATCCACAGTTCGTAGAGAACCCACTTACCTATGGGTACCACTGGGTTCTCGCGGGTCTTGCGAATTAACTTTTCCTTGAAAGTTTCTGTAGTGCTATACACACTGGGACTAAAGCCCTCAATAACTGGGGGCTTCGATGGGTCAAAGGGTGCCTCCGGAGTCACAGGGCCAGGACTCGCCATGGTCGGAGTAACAGCAGCAGAAGGAAAATAGGGTCGCAAGTCTCCGCCTCCGGATGAGGTCATGAATGGGACGGAGAAAAGGAGTTTATTGAGCGCCGTACGCAGGCGCAAGCGCGCATTGCATTCTGGGAGTCGTAGTACCCCGCTTGGTATCGCTACTGGGAAGACTACGTTTCCCAGAAAGCCTACCACGCATTCCGAGAGCGCATTGCCGGAAGGAGTCTGCTACACGAGGTGCAGTGAGCGGAGAGGCTTCGAATCTGAATTGCCGGTGCTGTGGTCCACGCGATGCCCAAGGCGAAGGGGAAGACCCGGAGGCAGAAGTTCGGTTATAATGTTAACCGGAAGCGTCTGAACCGGAACGCTAGACGAAAGGCCGCACCGCGGATCGAGTGGTGAGGGGACTAGGGTTTTGGAGGCTGGGGTGTTTCTCGGCGGGGCGGCCTGCCGGGTGGCGGTTCCTCAGTGTCCCTCTCTTTGCCCATAGCTCCCACATTCGACATGCCTGGGACCACTCCAAATCCGTGCGTCAGAACTTGGCGGAGATGGGTCTGGCTATGGACCCCAACAAGGCGGTGCCCCTCCGTAAGAGAAAGGTATTGACCCGGCAGGGCCCCAAACTTTGCTGTTCTTCCCCCGCCATTCTTGGCTAGGTTCTTTTACAGGGTAGCCCAGGGCGCCCAACGTGGGGCCTCACTCCTGCGCTCAAAATGTAATTTTCTGCACGCACACACCAAAAAGCGGGTTTATTTACACAAAGGGGAAAAGGAACCAACCCAGGGAAAGAGAGAGAGATATAAAGTAACTGGAATATTTAACCAACTTTCTCACTTGGAGCTCTAGTCCCAAACTAACACTGCTAGCCCCCCAGGCACAGTCTGAGAGCCATTGCTTCAGAAAGAGAGAGGACAGTTACCTTTCCAGAGCGATAGTTGGAAAATCGCTCCATTTATGCCCCCAAAGTCCCAGAATGCCTGTTTAGCTCGCCTTTAGGTCTCTCCTTGGTGCTGCTGGGAGTTGTAGTTTCCAATCACTGGATTAGGGGTGGAGTTCACCAAACTGCAGAGTTCTTTTAGGACTTGATCCACTCTGTTACCTCCCTCACACTCTACACACCTTGAACCTGGATTAGACTCCACTCTCCATTCATCGTTTCCCTCTGGATCTACCTATAAAGAGGTCTTGACAACCTTAATGGTGTTTTCCAGAGTTTACTTCTGTCTCTGACTTTCCTAATAAGGACTCCTGAGGGTTTGGGCTGTCGCTGTTCCCACACTTTGTCCAAGTCATTCAGTTATCCTTGGTTTGAAGCTTCCTGGGATCCAGTTTCTCCTGAATATTTTTCTCGACCATTTTTCAAAAACCGTATCCTTGATTCAGAAACATCTTGAGTTATTGTAATTCATAGCATTTGTAAATACTTGGTGGTGTATTACAGACTTACCTTTTATTGTCTGTTTCCTTTCCAAGGAGTTGGTGTTTTGTCTACTACTAAATTATCAGTGGTGCTTAGGATATGATAGATGTTTCTAAAAAGCCTAGTTAATGGGTCTGTTGATTGAATTTGGTTTTTACCCCTTCATGTTTGAGGAGAGTGACACTATTATCTCTTGAACAAAGAGATAGCAAAGCTATCTCCAAACTGTCAAGTTACTTCTCCCCACAGATATCTCCTTACTATAAATTGAATTTGTGTGTTATTTCTCTTAGCACATGAAGTGAAACAAATATGGTGTTATGTCCATTTTGTAGGGCACAGAAAGATTCTTACCTATGTCTCTTTTTGGCCACCATTAATGCCTCACTGTGCCTGCCTCACCTTGGGGAAGTGTTCTTATGACTTATGCAGTTGTATTAGGATGGATAAGAGCCTCTAGAAGTGTCCTTCATTCAGGTTTCTTCCTTTGCCTAGTGGTCTTACAGGTTCTGTTCTCTACAGGTGAAGGCCATGGAGGTGGACATAAAGGAGGGACCTAAGGTGCTTGTGCGGAAGCCTTATGTGCTAAATGGTGGGTATGGGCCACATTTCTCTAGGTTACTGTGCTTTAGTCTCTGTGCTGGAAAGGCCCTCAGATGTTTAGTTTAACAGAGAAACCAAGGTTCAGAGGGCAGAAGTGAGTTGGTTTAGGGCTTACAGAGTTAGTACCATGTCCCTGACTGGGACATTTGCAGTCTACTGATTAGACTCAGGTGTTTGAAGTGAGGTTAGAGCTATTTAGTAAGGATTTAGCCAGATGCCTAAAAAGATAGAAAATTAAAGTTTACAGCATGGCACACATTCAGTTTCTCATGAATTTATAAAGATGAATGGGTTTTTAGAGATTATCACATTTAATCTTTCTACTGATGAATCAGTTTAATATACATTTGAATTAACAGGAGAATAAACCCTGTCAGGAAGCAGGAATACTCTGGAATTCTTCACTCATTCTTTCTCTGAAATTATTTTTTA